GGTTAGGCTTGCTAAAAACCAGCTCCACACTTTCCCCTCCCTTTAGTGAAGAAGAGTTGGTTTGAAATCCTTATAGACCCCTCCTACTGGAATAGCTAACAGGCAAGACTTTTATCTCATACTCCCTCTCCTTTTTCCTCAGTCCTTCAAGGTCAGAGCAGGAGAGGTTTAGTGGTAGCCCCAGGTTTGTGGTCATGCTCTCAACCATACTCCTGGTTACAGCAAAATCAGTCCTCTAAGGGAAATCAAAATAAATATCTGAATTCAGGTTTTAAGATTCTGCTTGTTAGGAGAGTTACAGAATGATTCATAAACCTAACCTGTAGCTTGATAACCTCCAGACTAGAAATGGACTCTTCTAGGTATACTCCCTTAATACTCCCTCTGACTTACTCAATCAAATGCACCCCCTTCACTCTTAGAATGCAGCAGAAAGCATCCACACAAATGCATATCTTGACTCACTAACTTTTATAAAGAGGAAATACAAGTCAATAAAAAGAAAATAGCTAACCACAGCGGGTCTGTTTGTGAATAAACAAGTCAAAGTGAGTAAGTAGCTGTGTGGAGAATGGTCAGTTCCTCTGTAAAGTATTTGTAACCTGAAAAGAGATTCAGCCATATGGATGAGCTGCCATGATTAAGCAGTTTCTATACCTTTCCAATAACCTCCTTGCCTTCCCTTTTTCTCTTCCTCCTTTGCCTAAGAGGGAGAACCACAATGCTACTGCAACCATTGGCATGGCCACCACCACCACCACCACCAACAGATGATTTCCTGCCACTTTTTTGCCATCTCAGCTGCTGCTGCTGCTCCCACTGAGAAAAAGCAAGAGCCATCCCAGTCCTTTCTTCTCTAACTAGCTCCAAACTTTGTTAGACCTTCAAATCCTACCACAGTCCCCAAATTGTCCAATATTTTCTCCATATTCTTGTAGACAAAGCATAGGGATGGAGGAACACTTCCCAAAATTGTATCATGAGATTTCAGCACTGATCTTGCCAATTGAGAGTGTTATGTTATTTTGAATGGAATTTCAATTCTTTATCTTTTCGTTGTTGGCATTTGTTAGTAGAACACAGACCACCCTGGCCCCCACACACATACACACACACTCATTTGTACCACCTCAGTCTCTGGGAAGGGAAAAGAGATTAGGTTCACAGCTTAGCTCATTTCCTATAGAGTATAGTCCCAGTTCCAAGGGCAAAACTCCCCTTGGGCTTGAATCCCAAGTACCTTGACTTCTCAAGGTTTCCATGTGGAGATGCACCATCCCGCCAGCAAATACTGGCTCCACAGGTGCCATGGCTTGTACTGCTGAGTACCATGGGGATCATCTTTGGCACCTGAAACTGAGGAGGTCAAGCAACATAGAATAGAAACAAACACCCCCAGGTCCATTTCCCAGAGCCAAGAGGAGAGCAGGGGAAGGAAGACTCTCCAGTGGGTGCCATGTGATCTTCACTGTCTGGACACAGCAGATAAGAGTGGCTGAAAAGAAAAGCAACAGGGAGAGCAGTGAAAAAAGAGAGGACAATAGGTTTAGTCTCACCAATTTAAAGGTACAGGTAGCCAATGAAAGGAGGCTACACTTAACCATGTGAGGTAGGGGACTCAGAAGCCTCCATGTTGGGCAATCCAGACATGCTCCAAAGGCCCCTCAGGATGACTCCATGTTAGGCAAACTGGGGATACCCAGACAACCCCAGGCTATATTAGTGATCTATAAAAAGCCAATTATTTATATGGAGAACTCAAAGTGCAAGTTTAAGTAAAAACATAAATTTTAAGACATAGTCAATGGGGCAGGGGTAGTGTGGTTTTATTGACTGTGCTTAAGATTTGTATGTGTGTCTTCTAGGGCTGTATCCCAAAGAGATCATAAAAGTGGGAAAAGGACCCATATAGACAAAAATATTTATAGCAGCTCTTTCTGTGGTGGCAAAGAATTGGAAATTGAGGGGATGCCCATCAATTGGGGAATGACTGAACAAGTTGTGGTATATGCATGTAATGGAATACTATTGTGCTATAAGAAATGATGAGCAAGCAGACTTCAGAAGAACCTGGGAAGACTTGTATGGACTGATGCTGAGTGAAATGAGCAGAACCAGGAGAATGTTGTACACAGCAACAGCCATGTTGTGCAATGACTAACTTTGGTAGACTTAACCCTTTTCAGCAAAGCAAGGATCTAAGACATCTCCAAAAGTCTCATGATGGAAAGTGCTATGCACATCCAGAGAAAGAACTATGGAGTTAGAATGCAGATTGAAGCATACTATTTGCTCTTTTTTTCTCTTCTGTTTTGTTTTGTTTCCTCTTTCTTATGGCTCCTCCTATTGGTTCTAATTCTTCCTTATAACATGACTAATATTAAAATTTTAAAAAAAGATTTATATGTGTGTGGCTTTTGAAATATAGATTGTGGTTTTCAAAAACATGTTTATGAACGGCATAGATATGATCTGAGGTCTGAACTATTTACCACAGTTGGAGAACTATGCCTGCACTAGCAGCCCTCCCTGTGAGGGGAGGCAGACAGTTCAGGACCACCAAGATAGAGCAATCTTCCCTACAATCTCTAAGAGATGTACAGGGCTAGACTAACCCTAACCCTAACCCATATTTCACCCATCAACCATCTCTAGTCTAGGGTTATAATAGGTTCAGAACAAAAGTCATGTCCCTGATTGCTCTAAATGTGGAAGATAGCTCTTAGGCTATATGGTCCAACTTACCTCTTCCCATCAATGCTAGTTACACAAAAGATCATCACAAATAGTGAATATTGAGTAAACCCATCCATTAAAGCAAAATAGCAAAGAAAAGTCAGAGCTCCACTGATTAGAATATGCCAAAGAATGCTAATAAGCTTCCCCCAATAGACACATGGCCAAATGATATGAGTGAACAGTTCTCAAAAGAGCGATTTCATGTTATAAAGAACCATGTGAAAAATGACCTAAATCACTAATAAAAAGAGAAATGCAAATCAAAATAACCCTGAAGTTTTACCTCACACCCAGAAAACTGGAAAAATGTTAGAAGATGGGAATAATCAATGTCAGAGGGGTTGTAGAAAGGCTGGGACTTAACCATGTAAGTTAGTCATTGCACAACATGGCTATTACTGTATACAACATTCTCCTGGTTCTGCTCACTTCATTCAGCATCAATCCATACAAATCTTTCCAGGTTTTTCTGAAGTCTGCCTGCTAATCATTTCTTATAGCACAATAGCATTGTTGATGGAGCTGTAAGTACAACTATTATGGAAAATATTTTGTAATTATGTGAATAAAGTGGCTAAAATGACCATACCCTTTGACCCAGAGATTCCACTGCTGGGCACATACCTCAAGGTGATAACTGACAAGAAAAACTCCACTTTTGTACCTGCACTTTTGTGGTACCAAAGACTTTGGGGCGGAGAGGGGAGGGAGAAGTTGATGACCATTAACTAGGATAAACAAACTGGACTACATGAATGTAATGGAATATTATTATAAGAAATGACTACTATAATGAATACAGAGAATCATGGAAATGCTTAGATGAACTGATGCAAAATGAAGTAAACAGAGCCAGAAAAAAACAACATATACTAACTACAACAATACAAATGGAAAGAACAGCTGCCACAAATATAAACGTGAAATTATGAAAAACAAGATTGTTCCCAAAGAAGTGATATAAAATGACATTTCTCTCCCACTCTTTTATGGAGGTGGGTAGTCCATGAGTGTGGAATACTACATATAATGTCAGATTTTTTCAATGCACTGATTATTTTGTTGAATTTTTTTTCATCTTCCTGTTTTTAAAAAAAATTCTTTGTTAAATGGTAGGGGCTGGCAAACCATGGCCCATACACTAAATCTGTCCCACCGCCTGTTTATTGTAATTTTAAAATGTAAAAACCATTCTAAGCTTATAGGCTATACAAAAACAAAAACAAAAAACAAAAAACAAAATAAAAAGGCCAGACAGTATATAGTTTGCCTAGCCTTAGAGGGTGGCTCTTTGGAAGGGGGAAGGGGATGATACAAGGGGGATTGATCTTGCTTCATCTTGGAGTGAGATAAGATCTTAGCTCAGACCAGGAAGGGGAAAACAGACCTATTTATGGGAGTATGTTCCCGATAGTCTTCAGAGATACAAACCCTGGAAGCTAAGGAATCTAAGGAATATAAAAGGCCCAGATCCCATACACACCCACAGCTCCTAGGGCTTCAGTGCATCATTTGTAAGTATTTCTCTCTTGATTCCTCTCTGGAGCTCCTCTCTCTACTTTTTACCCCAACCAACTGAAATAAGTCGTTCATGCAAGTATGCAACATCAGCATCAAACTTCACATTCTTTTAAGCCAATTACGGGTCTCATTTCCCTTCTGCATTTACAGCCCACTGCACAGGGATATTTTTCTGTGTAGATGTCAAAGGAGCTGTTATACATGTTTGTTATGATTTTTAAAAATTGGTGGAGTAGTATAAGAGGAAGAAGGGGAATAGTGATGATAGGGATGCCAAAAAAAAAATGACAAAGAAAAGAAAGAAAAATGAGCCTTTGAAACATATTTTTTTAAATAAAAAAAGGAAACATAAACTAGAAAGCTTTGAAAGTAACACATGGGATTTATGATACAATTTTTAAGACAATGTATATAAAGGAGACAAGGTGTTTCAATGCAATCCTCTTTTTGTTTTAGAAGTTTTTTGTATTCAGAAATGTTCCTATTTGTTAACATATACTAAATTAAAAATAACCTAAAAAATTTAAATAAATATTCACACTCCATTTACTGTTTTCATACATTCCATTATCTGTTTTGTTGACATTTAATTAAGCAAAACTTTCCTTTTTACAAATTTTTATTTATCTTTTTTTTTTACATCACCAGAATTTCTCCCAGCATTCATCTACTTCCCTGTCTTCCTCCCAGAGAGTCATCCTATATGACAAATAATAGTTTTTAAAGAAAAAAAATCAACATGAGACATGCCACATACTTTATTTAAAACCATACACCGGTTTGAGAGTTAGTTCTGAGAGGGCTGTTTTGGCCACAAATGGGCCTGCTTTTTCCATCAGTGAGGCAAAAGAAAATTGATCTATTATCAGAAAAATGAACTCAAAGTCATTTATTAGTTTAGGGCATGAGACTCATAATTAACTAAACAGTAGCTTCATGTTGTGGATGAGGTGACTTGGAAAAGCTGCACGTGAAGTAGGCAAACAAAAATGTAATAAAACATGCTGGAGCATGAGTACAAACATGATGGAGCCACTGGTTGCTGGGAAATGATTGCAGCAACTTGACTGACAGAGTTTAGCAATCAGACCTGAGGGATCCCATTCTGAATAAAGGCATCTTTCAGCTTCTGCGCCAGAATTGTAAATGGCAGTCGCTGCGACTAAGTAGAAAATTGGATGCACTCACACTTCAACGATTTTATGATTTCAACAACATGGATACTCCTGTCAAAATGTAAAGTGCTTTGCAAACCTTAAGGTACTACAAAAATGCTAGCTATTATTACACCTTGGCAGATAGTCTTTAAGAGTTGCTATGGCTAATGATTCATTAATCTGCAGCCATGCTAGTGATGAATCCCTCCAAACAAAGCTGGACTGGTGCCCAGATCATAAACATGAGTTCCTCCTCCAGCTCGCACTTGAAGAACCTTCAAGAACTAAGGGTCACTTCCACACCACAGTAAGCCATCAGAGGAGTTCCTGTATAGATGTCAGTTAAATATTTTGTTATCTCTATTGTTTTATGTTGGGGTTATTTCTTTCCCTAGAAATTGGCAGTTTCTCCAAGTCAAATGCCACATCTTTTGCTTCTTTTGCACATCCTGCAGTACCTAGCACTCTTCATACACTTGAATTGAACAAGGACTAGAAATAACACAGAACAGACTCTTATAACATCATTTCTAGTACCTTTATTTTGATCCACGAAGGAAGATGAGTCTTTGAAATAGACTTTTAGACTATCTATGAAGAAATGGACTTCAGACCCTCAAAAAAATTCTTAAACCCTAACTCTTTAAAAGCCTTATAAGGATACTAATAGTAAAGATACTATAACTTTTAGCACCCCTGAATCCTCCCAAACAGCTTACTACTGTGTCATGAGTTAGGACTGAGTCAGCCCTGACTCAGCATCATCGAGTCTGGTCCCGTACTATTGTCTATCTTGGAACTAACATGAGGAATTTCTTAGCTCGAGTCAGAAGATAAGGTATTAATTATGTCACATAGTCTGAACCTCAACAACAAACAATAAGCAGGGAAACTCAGCTAACAGGGTCTGCCCACCCCTCTTCCTCTATGGGGAGTATTATTGATCCCTATGAGAGGAAATATAAATAGAATATGCAAAAAGATATATATATATACATATATATGCATATGTATGTATTTAAACCTACAAAAAATCTGAAAACAAGAGTTTCTAATCTAATAACAGTCACAGTACAATTGTCTTCAAAGTCTTGTTGCAGAGTAAGGCAGCAGCTGTCGGAGAGCTCTGTTGTTTTTGAGCCTACATATCATAAAGCTTGAGCTGTTCCTGCATATCTCCATCGGACATCTCCCCAAAAGTCTCCGTGTTGTCCTTCATGAGTTTGAAGATGGCAGCTAGCTGTTCTTTTTTAACCCTGTCAAGAAGAAAAAAATTTCTGATTAGGATGATTGAGTGAAGAGTCACAGAAGGGCCTAATTTACACACAAGTATCCCAGCAAAGACCTAACAACTGCATCAGACCAATAATGACCAAGAAATTAAAAGAGAAACTAGATTAAGTGCCTTCACCTACTCCAGGATTACACAAAAAGACAGTCAGAAACCTATGAAAAATAGGAAAGGAATTTGGTCAGAAAAACTAGTGTGAGTACATGCAAAACAAGGCAGTTTGTACCCTGCCAGTGTGAACCAGTCAGGCAGAGGATACCTAAAGCTTTGAACTTTGAACTCTTCTCCTTAAGAAGCTGCAGTGGCTCCCTCTTGCCTAAAGGATATGTCATCTTCCTTTGTTTTGTGTTTAAAGCCTTTCAAAACCTCTTTCTAGTCTCCCTTCCTAGGCTTATTGCACCTTATTCTCTTTCATGAACTTGACATTCCAGCCCAAATTGGCCCTACCTGCTCTTTCCTGTAAAAGACATTCCATGTCCCACTTGTCTACCTTTGCTGAAGCTGTCTCCTCTCTCCTCCTCTTCTCTCCTCCCCTCCCCACCCCTCTGCCAGCATACCTTCCCCCACCCTCTGTAGTGAAATGAATGTACACGCCTGGAACATATTCCATCAAGCTCTTGCTCTTTCCAAATTTTTTCCTCATTTTTATTTGTTCCATTTTTTTATCTGTGATTCTACCCAAGTGCCACCTAATCTGAGTCTCCTTTTGCCTTCTCCCCTGGATATTACTTTGCATATACTTTGTATTTATTTTTCTTTGTGTATATAAGTTCCTTGAGGGTAAAGGATTGTTTTGGGTTTTTTCTTTGTATTTCTAGTTTCTATGTAATGCCTGGCACTTAACAGGCTCATAATAAATTCTTGTTGAATGAATGAAATGTAGATCTCACTTTCAAGAAATCTGGTGATGAGTAAGGTGATAATGTCCACTACATGTCTTGACACCCATGGAAGAAAAATATAGGGCAAACAAGGAAGCAACTATTTTAAGAGACACAGATTTAAAAAATGGAACAAATAAATGAGAAAAAAAATTTGGAAAAACTTAGAGTAAGCAAGAAAGCATTTATTTTAAGAGGCACAGGTGAAAAAATGTGACAAATATGATAAATGAAAAAATGTTGGATATTTCTATACTATAAAATAGAGCAAGACACAAATGTTTATGCAATGAAGGATGTTTTCCATCAACCCACTCATACCAGGTAATGGTTTTATATATATATATATATATACACACACACACACACACACACACACACACACACACACATACACATATACATACATACACATACATATACATACATACATACATACATATATTTCAATATTTGATACTCATGTTTTTATGTACAGGTTTTGCAGTTGGAGATAGGATACTGAACCACAGCATTATCATCTATGTCTGATTTAGGTGTCAAAAATTTATGCTGCTTGGAAAAGCGCAGCGTGCTAGAGCAGGGTGACACCTTACAACTAAAATTCACACTCAGTAACCTGTCAGCTCCCATGGGTTTAATTATCATCTCTATGCTGACGATTCTCAAATCTACCTATCCTGCCCCAAACTCTCTGCTGAGCTCCAATCTCACATTTCCAATAGCCTTTCAGACATCTCAAACTGGATGTTTGGTAGACATCTTAAACTCAACATGTCCAAAAATTGAATTCATTATCTTCCTCCCCCAACCTCTTTACCTCCCCTTACCCCCAATCCCCCACTGCAACAGACACCTTCCCTATTACCAGAGAAGACAACCTCATCCTCCCAGGCCCTAAGGATCAAAACCTAGGAGTCATCCTGGACTCCGCACTATCTCTCATCTCTCATATCTAATTTGTTTCCAATGACTGTGGATTTCACCTTTGCAACATTTCTTGAGTATGCTCCCTTTTCTCCTCTGACATTGCCACCATTCTAGTGGAGGCCCTCATCACCTCACACCTAGACTATTACAATAGCCTGCTGGTGGGTCTGCCTGCCTCAAGTCTCTCCCTACTCCAATCCATTCTCTATTCAGCCACCAACGCGATTTTCCTAAACCACAGGTCTGATAATTTCACTTTCATAACCTAGTACCCTCCTCCCTGTCCAGTCTTCTTATACCTCACTCCCCAGCATGCACTCTTCAGATCAGTGACTCTTCCAGAAACAAGACAATCCATCTCTCCACTTGGGGCATTCTTTCCGGGGAGTCACCTATGCCTGAAATGTTCTCCCTCCTCAACTCCACCTACTGACTTCTCTAGCTTCCTTGACCCATCTTTTACTGGAAGCCTTTCCCAACCCCTAATTAAATTTAATTAATGCATTCATTCCCTCTGTTAATTATTTCCTATCTCTCCTGTATATAGCTTATTTTGTATATATTTGTTTGCATGTTGTCTCCCCCATTAAACTATAAGCTCCTTGAAAGCAGAGGCTATCTTTTGCCTCTTTTTGTATCCCCAGTACAGTGCTTGGTACATAGTAAGTGTTTAAGCAATGTTGATTGATTGTTTGATTTTTACATAGTGTTTTAAAGGTTTACAAAATGTCTTCCTCAGAGCAATACAATGAGGAAGTGATATTATTATTTCCATTAACCAGATAAGGAAATTAAAGTTCAGAGAACAGCTTGACACAGGCACTAGCAAGTTTGCTCAATAGTTAACTACCTTTCTGCAGTATTTTATTAATTATTCTTATTGATGTTCTGGCTGAGACAAGTACAAAGTTAAGTGATTGCCATAAAGACTCCGTAGTTAACTATCTTCCTGCAGTATTTTCTACTACTGGCCTAGCCTTTTCCCCCATGTCCACATACACCCACTGCTTAAGGCAACAGGCTATTTATATATGATATATACTGTACTATACTTGCTGGACATCTAAGTTAACTTCTTACAATACATATCTATCTTTCCGTAATCCTTAAGGTCTATATCTTCTATCCAAAATAATTTGTTTTGTAATCAGAGCAGAATGTAGGAATGAGGGAATCCAAATACCAATACCAAAGCTGTCATGCTCACTTGGAAAAATTAAAGGCATAAATAATTAGTCTAATCTGGGAAACAGGGAGATGATGGAAGACTCAGCATCTATATCCTCACAGGCAAATGATGAAAAATAAATAAAAGGACTGTGTAAAGTGCTTTGAGTTACTTGGAATGGAAGGTCCTACACAACTACATTGATCTAGATTTCTAGGACCTCATGTAAATAGGTATTATTTCAAGATTTTGAGGATGGAAGTGGCAATTACATCTTTAGGGTTGACAGAATGTCCTATACTACCATGAAAGGGTAACTAAAACATTAAGAGGAAGAAGGTGTCCAAATTTTAGTTGATTCAAAAGAAAGAAGTCAATGAAAAAACAAACCTGGAGGGAAAAACACCTAGCAATCCAGATTAGCTACTCACAGATTAATTGGACTGAATGAAGGTTAAAGACACAGACTGAAGCCACTAAGAAATAGTTTGATGTGTAAACAAGAAAATTAATTATAAAAACAGACAAACCTAGAAAACTATGTAAAGAAGGAATTATCCACTTTGTGTAACAAGCAAGATTTAGACCCTCCCAAAGACACAACACTTAGCCACATATATGGTCAAGTACATACTTCTCATAATCATCATTTGGTTGTGTATGAGGTGATTTTTTTCATGGTTGGCATTCTTTAGGACGGTTTTCTAGAGAGAGGTTATGGCAACAGTTAGGGTCATGTCTTCTATGTGGTGAAAACCTAGTCAGTCCCTGCTGCTTTTTAGGTAAAGGCAAAACCAAGAGGCCAACTTTAAAATAATATTCTAATTACTACTACTACAAAATTACCAACAGGAATTCATCTGAGCTGGTATGAATTCCCACAAAGAGACTTCCTGTTAATCAATAGGGCTATTTTTCAAAATGTCCTCAAAATTTTTAAGTACTTATCTTAGGTATGGACAAGAATACAAAATCAATAAATGATAACTATGCTTTGCTTCTTGGTAGTCGATGAAACAGGACTCAAAGCAAGAGATGAGAAGACCCTTTTCTTGGAGGTAGGAGGTCCATAGATGGTACATGTTTTCAGACTTTTTCAATGTACTGATTAGTTGTGCTGACTTTTTTTCCTCTCTAAAAAAGTACTATTTGTCATATGGGATAGCTCTCTGGGAGGGGAAATGGGAGGAATACTTGGGATAATTATGAGGATATAAGAAACAGAAAATGTCAACAAAAACTTTTAAAAACCACTGCTATGTATCTAAAAAGGAGGAGATGATAACCATCTAGGTTTAGGGGTGTTACAATATCTATGAGGCATCTAGGGAGCTGTACCTCCCCTTGAGCAGCTCTGAGATCACAGGCCTCTGTGCAATGCCCAGAAAGATGGCAAAGATCCAAATGGAGACACAGACCTAAGCAACCACAGAACCCCCATTTTCAACTCTCCTGAGACTTCTGATTATAAAAAAAATTCAATAAACCTAATTAGGATATATAGAAAATTAAAAATTAAAAAAGGATGACCATATTTGAAAGCAATAGGAAAAAAGAGATCTTTGATTAAGCTACTTAGGCTATTGATGCTCTATTTAGACACAATTTACTTCAGTACTAAAAACATTCTGTGCCAGGGAACAATATAAACACAGAAGGTTTCCATTTAGTTCCCATCTCTTGCACTCCAAACTCCTATGATGCAGATGTAAACATGGGACCACTGTGAACATACCCCACAGAAAAAGCTGAAGATCTGAGACAGAGAAGACATTAGGACTGAGAAAAATAATAGTGTGAATGAGGGACAGGGTAAATAGGATGAGAAAGATAGTGAGGAAAAACAGGAAGGAGGAAAATATACAAGTAATTATAACTTAGAATGTAAATGGGATGAATTTACCCATAAAACGAAAATGGATAGCAGATTAAAAAATTTGAATTTGACAATTTGTTGCTTTCAGGAAATACAATAAAATGAGATAA